ATAAAAGTCTTGGGAACTTAAGTACCTTCTTTACTGAAGGTGTTCTCCCATCAATGTGCACACAATTCCCACTAGCACTAAGAGCAGGAGACTCTTAGTGCTAGTTACTACAGACAAATAAGTAATGTGAATAGGTTACTACATCAAGGTTGCTGACCCCAAATGTTCAAAAATGATGAAGTGTAGTTGTAGCCATGTTGATCCCAGGACACTAACCAACAGAAGTTGATCTGATAAAAGATATTAGCTCACATAATCAGCTGACTCCAGGAACGGGGAATTTAAGTGAAACACCAAATTAAAAAATCACAAAACTCAAGATAAAATCTTGGTTAGCAGCACTGCAATATACAGACAGACAAATTGATTGAGAAAATATAGTTGATAAATATGTAGCTTATACAATTCAACAGAGAAAAATAAACACAAAGAGGAAACATGCTCAAACTGGGAGGACGATAAAAGAATTAACTGGGATTATTAAAGTTTAAAGGACTTTTTGTTTCACAAGGTCTTTGGCGGAATGTGTTGGTTTTATGAGGATTTTCATTAATATTGTTTGATTTTTAAATCCATATGATTTTTTGTAAGCATTTGGGATACTTAGCCAATAATATTATATAAATACAATTCTAGTATTAGCAAAATATATGTATAATCAATCATTTAAATTATGAAAGGAGAGGGCATCCCTACATGGCCTGTTTTTTTTTCTTCTTCTCTTCTCATTCTAATAATGCCATGTAAAGTAAAGAACAAATTATTTACATAAATAAAATAGAGCACAATACCACCAGGAACTAGGTAAAGTCAATATTATATCAAAAGGCATCCTTACAAAAGCCTGATCCTTCCTTACTGAAAAGGGATTTTGAAGATCTTAGCACTGATAAAATAGGGAATGTTTAAATGCTAGCTTCCCTCTAGGTGGTCCTCCAAAGTAGGTTCCATTTCCAGATGTAATTGCTTGTCAGCCCTAACTGGATGCCTGAACAGTCTCCGATAGTTCTGTAAAGTACTTAAACAGCTGGATGGTACAGACCACTGAAACTAAACTCTTTTTTCTCTTGCCATGGCTCTCTTTCACTGCCTTCCTTTGAAGTCTATGCCACTGAGGAATCAACAACAGCTGAATACCATGTGTTATCATACAACATTGAATGCAACAACAATACTGCACAGCAAGACATTTTGTTCAATAATCCTGGACTGTAGGAAGAACTGAGATTTATTTTGTTGGGGATAATCCCTTTTTCAAACACAATATTAGAGTAAACAAGACAAGCTAAATTAAAAGGTGACTTGATTACAGTAATGCATTATGCATATGAAATGCAACAATCCATTTTTTCCTTAAAATGTACAGAAGTGTTTCCTACTGAACCGCTGCTTAAATCCTTACAGGCAAATTCCAAACGAAGTCTTCACTTATTTGTGGCAACATAAAACTGAAAATTTTCAGTGATATGAATGAAAGCATTACAGACTGATGGAGCTGTAATTATGGTGGGAGATTCACTGAATACTCACTTCAGGGGCTGTAGATAATCCCATTTTCCTGTCCCATCTAGAGCAAATTCTGTGCTCTCATCTCAACATCTAAAAGCCCAGAGTATCACAGGACTATCACACAACTTGACACAGGCCTGTAGAAAGAACCATATATTCTGCCAATGCACAAAAGATTTAGGCAAACTCCTCTTAATGTCAAAAAGGAGACAATAATGTCAATTTCCTTTCACCAACTGGAAATAGTTCCGAGTTAGTTATGGGCAAAATTGTGGATACCTAAAGTTAGACCTCTGAATGAAAGTCAGGCCACTTATTTCGGTGCCTCAGTTTGAATACTTTGGTCTAACTGTCCAGGTAGAATTTGGGGTTCTGACAGCATGAGATGATGTCATCCCTACAGCTAAAGATGACAGTGATTCAAGTCTAAAGGTGTTCCATACATACAATATTGTGGTCGGATTCTGCAAAAACTTACTCCTGTAACTAGTTCCCCAAACACTACATCATCAGAATCTAGATTATGACTGATCCTAAACCTTGCAGAAAAGCAAACATTTGAGATTACAGCCTATCTTCAGTGCACCCTTAAGGCTCAGAAACCAGAAAGCAATACAAAGAACCCAAAATGTATTAATTTTTTAAAATCTCATGATTTTCAAGCCAATCTCATTGGGACATGACTCAATAAGATCAGAAATTGTATGCATCAGAGTTGATGGCAACAGTTCAGTTCCTAGCGGACATTTCTTCACACTGCAATTTGGACTAACAAGTCTCCTTTCTGCAGTGTCTGCAAAGAAGCTAAGAAATAAGAATGGAACTATTCCTTTGGTTCAGGTTAGAGATACGCAGATGGGGTATTATGAGTAAGTATGCACTGATCTGTCAAAGCCATGCCTGCTCTGTGGATAAAAAGAACTTCTGTCTCAAGCCAACACTAAATTCCCATCATCTCATATACTGTATATTACTTTCAAATCATAAAGTAAACTGTGTGCATCGGGAATTTTTCTACTTTGCAGCTTTATAAAACACAATATAGTGCATGAACACACATGGAATATTCTAACAAATATGGTTCCTCAACTAGTATTCTAAGGCACTGTCATTTTTAAACAAATACTGTATACTAACAAATTTGCATGCAGTCACTTTCAACAAGTGATCTTAAGAGTAATTTACAGACATGAATGGAAAGCTCAACACCATCTCAGGTACAGATGGGTACTGTCTATGTAAAGCTCCCACTGCCATTCAAGGCAGAAGCAGAAACAGAATCCATGCTCTTTCAGATTTCTGGAGATACCACCAATGAATGGAGTCCAATATATAGTTTAAAAAGATTCACAAACTTGTTGCCAACAGCATTTACTATGTTCCCGATCTGTCTTCTGTGAACCCATTCAGAGTTTTTCCTTTTTGTCTCCTACATGCTCTGAACAGCCAAAGAACCATCGTTTTATTAGCTGACTAGTTTAAATAAGCAGGGTCAGCTTCAATGGGGATTTTTTCTCTTTTGGGGGAGTGAGGGGAGAAGGGAGGAAGTGGATTTACAGGTTCTTATATAGCTGTAGAAACTGCATTACACAAATTATTTTGTTATTCAGTAGTATGTCTTTCAGAACAACTCTGCGAATGAGACAATCATTTCTGTTTCCCAAGGAGAGAACCATTGTGCTGTCTTTCATTGAAAGGATTGCTTTTTTATGACTTAGTAATTTTTTAAATGTCAAGTCTTACCTATTTTATAAAAAAAATTAAAACTAAACAAAATTTGCTGAAAATATTGACCCACTCCCCTACCCCTTTCCCCACAAAAAATGAGAAGGGAGGCAACAAATCAATCCGTAATGACATTTTCTGAAAATATATACAGTGGGTTATGCAACATAACCAAGATTAAAACTGACTGGTTCAATTCTAGGTAAAGTAGTCAGCATTTTATTCATGAATTATACACATTTTTTCTAAAATAATATAATCAGACCATCAGGTTAGTGTTCTCTATGTTAGTCATAACACAACAAACTAAAACAATCTTTAACCAGGTATCTTCATAGAAATCAATAGATAATTGGTTTATTTTCTCTCTACAGTTCAGGGCATATTTAATTTTAACTAGAGGTGCTGCCTATGGAGGGTGCAGAATATAGTAAAGCACAAGCCAGACTTCATAACCCACAGTACAGCAAACTTTGTCATGGATGTAATTAGCGTCTGGTGATTTTTGTTATTATGTCAAGCTTTGATATCTTTGCAAGGGTCCAAATGCAAGACAGGTGTTATTCTACAGAGCATGCCAAACATGTACCCTCGATCTCCTTCATATTTACAACACCGATCAAATCCAAGGGTAATATTGACCTGCAATTTAATGTGTGGCTCTGTTGGTCACATCAAAATGACATTTGATTGACAAGCAAAAGGAGTTAGCACACCGAAGTATATGACTCAAAAACTTAAGAAAAAATGTATTCCATATCAAGAAATCACCAATAGCCACAGACCTTTACAACAATCTTCACTACTGCATAAACCAAGGACCAAAATCCGCCTCCTTACCCCTTAAAGTTCCAAGCCTTGTTATTGTAAATGATTCACTCAAGCTTTCCTCACACTGTTCCTAAAATCTGATCCACTCCCTGCTGGCAAAACAGATTTACTTATAATCTTTTTTTTCTTCCCCTCTACTAGCAGAGAGAGGGGGCAGGGGAGAGGAATAAGAAAGATTAATCATCAAATAAATCGTCACTGCCTGGACAGGAAAAACAAAACAGTCCACGTTGTGAAGAAGAAATCTTCCTAATTTCCATTGAATGGAAGGCAGAAAGAAAGACAGAACCAGAGATTCCTCTGCTCAGCAAAAGTGGCCTCTAACCTCTCTTCTCAAGGACACAGAAAAATACCTCTTACTTTTTAAGACTTGTATGCGGCTGCTATAGGAGACAGAAGATACAAGGAGGACGGGGGAGGGGACAAAACTGCAAGGAGGCAGGAAAAGGTGAAATAGAAGGGGAGAGTAAACTTACAAGGAAGGAAGAGAAACGGGTAGGGGAAACCAGGGAGAGAGGAAAATGCAAACGGAAGCAGAAACGAATAAGGGCTGAAGGTAGAACTGCAAAGAGGAGGGGAAAGTTGGGGATGGCAAGACGGAAAAAGGGAGATGGAAAATGCAAAAAAGAAAAAAAGAGAGGAAAGCCAAGGGGGAGAGGTCCGAAAGAAAGGGAGAGCGAGAAAGACTGCCAAAAAGAAGAGGAAATACGAAGGGGACTGAAAAAACGCAGAAGAGGAAGGAGAGCGGAAAGGGGGGAGAAATGCAACAGAAAGCGAGAGGAGGCAGGAAAACACGGAGAGGAAAACTGCCAAATAAAAGGGGAGCGAGAGGGCTCCTGGCAGGGGAGGAAGAGAGCCGAGTGAAGAGAGAGCCCGGGAGCGGCTGCAGGAGCGGGGGGCTCTCCCGGAAAAAACACTCCGAAGTTTGCACTTACAGCTCGGCCATGGCAAAGCCCCGCGGCGGCGGCTGCTGCGAGCGCGGGCCGGGGGATCCTGCAGGCGGGCGCGTCCTCTGGGCTCCGGCAAGTCGGCACTTCCCCGCACCGGCTCCTCCGGACAGGCAGCAACCCCGAGTGCGGGCAGCCCGCTCCTCCTCAGCGGCCAAATAGCCCGGGAAGGGGGCGGGGGATCCCGACCGCCTCGCTGCCAAGCGCAGCCGGCAGGGGGCTGGAGCGGGAGCGAGGGGGGCAGTTCAGGCGCTGCTGCGGGCGGGCTGCAGAGTGTGGGGCTGCTGCCCCCTCCTCTGTCCCTGCGTTGCTGGGGCCCGGGCACCCAGCTCCTCCCCCTGCCCCTCTATATGTGTGTGTGTGTGTGTGTGCACGCGCGGGGGGGCTCGCACCGCAGCCCCGTCTGCTCCGCGCTCTGGTTCCCGTGGCCGCACCGCGGCGGCGGCGGCTGCCTCCCGGCCGGGAGCAAAAGTGTAACGGAACCGGGACACCAGCGCGGCATTGTGGGAGCTCTTAAAGCAGCCGCCGCCGCCAAGCACAGCCCCGGCCCCGCACCTCGGGCCGCATCCCGAGGGGCTGCCCGCCTAGTGCCAGGGCTCCCCGAAGGGAGGGAGATTTCTCCGCCGGGGAGGGGGTGTTGGAAGTGTCTGACTGCATCACACGGGGGGGGAGGGCAATAGCTTCTTCCATGAGGGGATTTAAAACCTGGCCTGAAGGAGAACCCCTAAAAAGAGACTCTTTCATGCCAACCCCCAGAACAGGGGTGAGAAACTCCGGGATGCGCTGTCTCTGCCCTCCCAACGCTTCCGGGAGTCCGCCGTCTGCACCAGCATCAGCCAGGGCTAGGAACCGGGAGGAAGGAAGGAGGAGAGCGCGCGATTTCCCATGAGCGATAACAGGTCAGGAAGAGCTATAAACGAAGCGATGCTGCATGCTCTTTGGTTTGTCTGTGTTAGGTTTAGTTTTTCATTCGCCCTGCTTGGAAACTATCGATTCTGACCTCCCCCAAAGGTCTGGGGATTTTTGGTTCCACTAATTATAGACCGTGGCCAGTTGGGACTTAATATATTCTTACTCTAGAGGGAGTCCCGTTATACCACAGAGAGAGAGAGAGGTAAGAAATGGTAAATATTTTCTCTAAAACTTTGAAACGCTTTTTTGTTGTTGTTGCAGAAATATATATAAAAAAACGAAAATCAAAATGTTTGATGGTCATTTTTGGTTTCCAAAAGCCAAAAAAGTTTTGACTTTTGATAATTTCTCGTTTTTGAAAATGGGGAAAAAACTTGGAAAATTTGAAAAAGGAAGTAAAAATTTGTGTTACAAAAACAAATTAGGTCATTTTTGTCCAAAAAAGTTTTTAATGACAAATTTTGCCCAGCCTTAGTGTATGTATATACATGTACATCCTCAAGACCAACTCATATGGGGGGGAGGGAGGGGAATTTCTAAAAAGATTTTAACTATTTGAAACTTTATTTTACATAATTAAAATAGGGATATTTCATGCAAGTTCTTTTACTTTTGTTTTGTTTGAGATTACTCCTGTTCACATTTTAGCAATACTCCAAATTACTTCTGTAGGCTAAGAGTGTCCGGTTCTATTCCTATCTGCCTCTGAGGCCCCAGTCTTTCAACTGACTCCAGGCAGACAGAGTTCTGCACCTGCATAGCTCCCCACTGAAGTCAGTTGCTGTAAGGGGCTTTATGGGATTATTCACATGCTTTAAACTAAGCACAGGCATAAATGCTTGTAAAGTCAGGGGGTTAGATTATAATCACTTCCTCTTCCTTTTATGTCCTATATCTCACTGAGCACATTGTGGACACTTCATAAACAACAACAGTAACAACATGTGGCAAAGCCACAAGCCTCTGCTAAAGCACAGATATCTTGGTATTCATATGATCATCACTTCTAAAGTTCCTAACTTTCCTTTTGTCCCTTCTCTGCTCTTAAGAGAGAGAGGGGAAGGGGCATTCATTTGACTAAAGGGCCAGATGTGGGCTGGTAAAGGTAGTGCTCTATTGGATTGGTAAAATGGACAATTTTTCTTGCTTTTATGGATTTAGGGCATGATTGTCAGAAATGTTGAGCACCTGCATCTCTCATTGATTTCAGCTGGAGTTCTGAGTGCTCAGCTCTTCTTAAACCAGCATGTTATAAAAGAAAGTTTTCTTCTGTTTTGAAAATGTCATTGATAACCCAGGATTATAAATTGTTGCTTTAGGGAGAGAGAGAGAGCAAGCTTTGGAGAGCCCTCAGAAAGGAAGGGATAGTTGTGCTAAGAGATGTGCTCATATCTATTCCTGACAGCTGTTTCAACAACAATTGTTGTGTTTTTCAGTTGTTTCTCTACATTAATATGATGACTTTTGTTCAAGATCTTCCTAGCATATGCGCAATGTGCCTCAGGAGGCATGTTACCAGGATTCATCACTGAATTTGGTCTGCTGGTAGGATCATTAGCTTCCCCAGTTTGGGCCGGGTACTGACGGGGAGTGTGATGTGAATGCTGATCCATGCCCTTCTGTTCTAGATATGAATTTATGAATACACACATCTTGAAATGAAAATGTAGAATTGTTATACTTGCTGTTGGATTATGGTCATGTCCTTAGCTGGTGTAAATTAACATAGCTCCATAATATTGGAATCATAGTCACAGAGTTTAAGGCCACAAGGGATTACCAGATCATCTAGTCTGACCTCCTGCCTATCACGGGCCACCACCACCACCTGGCATCTGTACACTAAACTCAACAACCAAAATTCTCCCATTAAGTTGTTCCTGGGCATCTTATTCAACACTTGTAAATAAATACATTTCTAGCCTTTATGGTTTTGAATATACATTCTGGTCACATTTGGAAAGTTAACATGATACCTCCATGATTCAGGAGTTTGTAGTTGGGGAGCTCCAGGGCTGGTCAGTTTCACAGCTGATGTACAGGGCTGGATGGGGAGTAGTGGAACTGTGAAGAATCATGCCAGTTTCATACTAATGCTGCTGCTGGAGACAGTTAACATAAGCAACAAAAGTTGTTCACTGGGAAGGAGGACCCAGAAAACAGAGCTAATAGCTTAAGTAGCAAAGACCTCTCCCCAGTGCAGTTAGGAGGCTCTGAATTTGAGGGTGGAAACAAAAAGCTCCATCAATTAAGGGATTGTAGAACATCAACATTATAACCCATCTATATGCTAATACAAAAGATCGAGCTCTCAAGTAGGTCGAGGGATGGCACCATAAAAGAAATCCAAGCACCCAGTGGCTGGAGATAAGAGAATTGGATTCTTCACCAAGAGAACCTGGACTTTCTTGGTGGAGCCCGCTCCCTGGCTTTCCTATCTACCTCTGCCTAAAAGGATTAGTCTTCTGGCTATTAGTTGACTGGTAAATTTCTCAAGTTCTGTCTAAGCAGAATTCAGTTTTGACCATGTTGTTTTTTGTAAATATTTCTGCAAATTAAGGTTTGTTCATATGAATTGTTTACAGAAAGCAAACCCTGGCCCTGTATCTGACATGCATTTCATCACAAAATGAAATTTGCTTTGGGCAGTAATTGAAAAAGTTTACAAAGATTATGTTATCCAGTCAGGGAGCAGTAACAATGCTATGTGATACAGGTGACCAATCACATACCTTGCCCATAAGGAACTGCAAATATAGATTGTCCCAACAGGATACTTTCAGGAAAAAGAAATACTGGCAGCAAACAGTTTGCAATCAGTTTGCAATACAAGATGAGATTTGTTTGCATGAAGCATTTCTACAACTATGAAGAGTGCATAAATTAATATAAGTCACAGTCTGATTGCAGACAATTCACAAACAGGAAAAAAAAAGCTTACATTTTGCCAAATAAACTGTTTGTTGCAAGTTACTTAGCCAACTATTCTTATAAAGATTGCAAAAAGTACAGCATTCAGAATACCACTCCTCCCTTCCTTCCTAAAACATGCAAGCAGAACAGGAGTTGAAATACTGGCTGGCTGAAGATACAAGACTATTTCTCAGAATCCAGGGTTTCATATATGAAAAGGAAAGAAGTTTTGGGAAACCAGTTGTTAGATGAAGAAAATCCTTGTTTAAAAATTTTATTACTTACTAAAAACAGTCACATGATGAGTCATTACACTTCTATTGTTTACCACTTCAAAAGGTCAACAGAACTGGAGCCTGGAACATTTTACACAATTAGATTTCATATCCAAAACTAGTTTTCTGTCTTTTTTCTCCGAGTTAAATAATACCCTTCTTGGACTTATAATTCCACCTCTTTTGGTAGACATTTACTTAAAAAAAAAAACCCTGTTACATTTAAGTAACTAATGGCCATACTAGAGAAATTTCAAAATATTTTTGATATATTCAGGATATATGTAATAACGTATACAATGTTCATCAATATTGACTTTTGTTTCATCTGCTTATTTTAGGAGGCTTGTTTGCTAGTAGAAAGACAATGTAACTGTTTTGACTATAAATACACTCTTCCCCCACTTCCCTCCCCCAATTTAATTGTAAAGGGGAGGAAAGTAGCACAAATTCCTGCTAAATCAAGGTGGCATGCATGGAATTTTCAGAATCATGTGTGCATGGCCTGATAAGCCAACATGTCCAGTAGAGGCATCTAAAATATTTTTCAGCAATTATTTTTCAGAGTAAAAAGGGAAATCTTTTGGAAGATGTGGTGATGGGAAGAGGAAAAAATGGAACCTTCTTATTGGCACTGAGTAACCATCTGTGATTTGATATGCTTAGTTGGTGAACTGGAGGTGACAAAGATAGCTGGGAAAGAAAAGAGGAAAAATTGGGTTTAAAACAGACTATCAAGAATACAGGCGAGTCTCATCTTACGCTGGGGTTCCGTTCCGCGGTTAGCGCATAAAGCAAAAACCGCGTATAGTCAAAATTACATTAAGTTGAATGAGAATCGCCCGCACTACAAGTACAGTATTAAAATTGTTATTTTTCTCTCTTTTTGTTTTTGTTTGTTTTTGCCGACCGCGTAAAGCTGAAATCGCGAATGTTAAATGCGCATAAGATGCGACAGACCTGTAGGGCTAAGAAATATGTAAAAGTATCCACCAACATTCTGTGGCATAACAAGCAATGAAGTTATTTTTTCAGCTACAGTGGCAAAGGACAAGGGATCTACTTTGTTGGAAACA